TAGAGGCGCTGAGAGGCCCCGGTTTAGTGTCGGCTTGCTAAAACTGCTCCAGAGTGTCCGTACTGTAAACCCTGTCGAGCTCCTCCATCCCCTCAGCAGCCAGACGTGGTGGAACGTCCGGCGCCGGGCCCTCACTCAATGAATCTGTGAGAACTGGTAGAGGGCTGGGTTCCATATGTAGAGACCTAAGTGGATCCCTTATGTGTAGAGTCCACGGTATAGCCTCAGAGCCTGTGTTTCCCCAGCAGACTTCTGCCATTTCCAAGAGGGTTATAATCACCTCTAATCTTCCATATGCACCTAAACAATTGTTCATATGTGTAAGTGCTTCTGAAACCTCCTTCGGGAAGGATGGGGCTTCCGCAACGTTCCTGTTCCTAGTGGTATGGGTACGTTTTCCCAGTGTTATCCAATCTCACTGAGTAGGTAGTGCTATGACAACAGTGACTGGCCTTCTTGTTGCGAGCCCTGGCCTACACCGAAAAGGGGGCGCAGCGGCCGGGTCACCTGCTCGGCTCCTCAGCGAAAACCTGAGTATTTGTTGAACCTGCTGCCTAGTTATACTCGCGCTGCGATCAACGGCAGCTGGATGCAATCATCGCATGCCAATGTGCATTGGCTCGTTTAGTTTACACTCGAAGTGGATTGGTCTCTCTAATCGAGATCCCAATTCGTCGGTACGTGACGTCTCCGTTCCCTCCTTCAGGCAACGAGGGTTACATACATAACCGAGACGTTAGTAAGCTTCATGACATCATCCATAGCCACGAGCTCAACCCTGCCCTTTCTCTTAGCTTAATATTTCTCCACGTAAAAGTTGCTCTCAGCAGTAGGGCTGCTCGATTATGGCAAATATCATAATCAAAATTATTTTGGTCAGTATTGTAATCACGATTATTTAAACTGATTATGAGTGGGCCATATGACCAAAACTTTATATGAGTGATTTATTTAACGATAGTGATATATCAAATATATTTTTTCTGTAAATAAGGTTGCTATGACATCTACATTTTATAGATATGCGAAATTTCACAATTATCAATACCACAGCAGAATACGAGGGTATTATAGGGTACTAAACACATTTTTGCGTGTATTTGACCGTTTAGGCGCGCACCTTGAGCTAAACGTTCACTTTACTTCTCCGTGCTCTGTTCCGTCTCTGAGCGCATGCACAGAAATCCTCCTGAGGAACAGCGCAAGATCTCTTTCGCGCTTTTAAAAACATGAATAAATCTAATCAACTTTAATAAATCAAGCATGTCCCATTTTGCAGAAGTCACGTTACACAATTTTACTGATTTGCATTTAAAATTGGGCTTTTATGGAGGAGCGAAAGCACACCGCTGGAAAAGGGGGCGGAATGGGGCACAATAAATGGGGCACAATAATAATAATCTCGATTATTGTATTTTCATAATCGTTGGAGATCGAAATCGAAACCATATTTCGATTAATTGCACAGCCCTACTCAGCAGCTTTGTGAACAGGTTTTACAAGGAAACTCTTAGATAAGAACTTTTGCTGCTATTCAGGAAAACTCTTCGTTCTAAGATAAAATGTTTTGTGAATACGGCCCCAGATCTTTCTACACAGCAGATAATTTCCAGACGAAGCACTCTTTAGATGTTTGTGTGCTATGTGGGATGGTCTCAGTGAAAAGCAGTAAAAAATAGTTCTTAACAATCAACAAATAGCTTCTTGATGAATGTATGATCCTATTAAAACTTAACTTGCTTTTAAAAAGACTAAACTGAATGTGTTTCAGAGTGACAACTGAATATTTTGACTCTTTATTTTATTCTCACTTTAGATTTGATGAAGGTGAAAGAAGAAAACGAAAAACTGAAGGACTTTGACGAGAAGCACCACGACTATCAGAATTCCTCTGATTTCAATTCTGAAGAAAAACCTTTTAGTTGCTCACAGAGCGATGAGCATTTCATCACCTGCCCTGAATGTGGAAGGAGTTTTACTCAAAAACAACATCTGACCAGACACATGAGAGCTCACACTGCAGAGAAGCCGCTCACATGTGTGGAGTGTGGAAAGAGATTCACACACCACGAAAGGCTAAATACGCACATGAGAATCCACACCGGAGAGAAGCCGTTCACGTGTCCTCAGTGCGGAAAGAGATTCACGCAGAAATCAAACCTGAACACTCATTTGAGGATTCACACTGGAGAAAAACCCTTCGCATGTCATCACTGCGGAAAGAGCTTCACATGCAAACGAAACCTTAATATGCATGTGCGAATTCACACCAGAGAGAAGCGGTTCACATGCCCTCAGTGTGGACTGAGTTTCAACGAGAAAAAAGTCCTTAAGAATCACATACGCATTCACACTGGAGAGAAACCCTTCACGTGTCTTCAGTGCGGAAAGAGTTTCACGCGGAAATGCAACCTGATGATTCACATGAAGATTCACACTCGAGAAAAACCCTACAAGTGCTCACACTGTGGAAAGAGCTTCACTCGGTCAGGATCCCTGAAAAGACACGAGCGACTGCACACCGCAGCGAAGCCGTATCACTGCGCTTCGTGTAGGAGGAGATTCAGTTCATCAAGAAATCTACAGATTCATAGAAAAACATGCTGCTCACTGGCCAAAGAAATGGACACAAGGTAAATGGTACAAAAGCCAAAAGTGGAGTTTTTCCCAAAGGACATATTGAGGGGCAGTAACAAAGGAAACTGAGTGTTAATCAATAAATAAAAAAGTATGATGTTAAGACAATAAAAATGTAATATATAGTTCAGTCATGAAACTCTCTAGATGGCGCAGCCGATGGGTTGTTAATGTAACCGATGATATTTAGAAGGTTAAACGACTTGGCACAAGCTGATTGGTTCATGCTGCATATGCAGCCAATGAGCTTTCTGCCTTGCATTTATAACAACTGGCTAGCATTCACTAGAGATTCCTGCAGCGCGCATTCAGAGTTTCTCTGAAACCCTCCACCTTCCCCAGCTCCACCTGTATAGATCTGCTACGGGTTATTATATATGCTATTTGTGCAGCAGCAGCATGTCTTAAATACTCGCAGCACTGTATCGCTGTATGCATTGGCAATAGCAAGGTCCTGTACTTGCTTGCAGCAGCAGCAGCAATAATCTACAACTACAGCAATAACCAACAGCAGTAGCAGCGTAGCAGATCTATTCCGCCAAGACCAAATACATTAACATTGTCATATCCATCACCATGTTCAATCTTCCGAGAGTTGTCATGATTTAAATAAATTTAAAATATATGTACTGGAACTAATTTCCATTCATTTTAATTCTACAGTTTTAACATGAACAAACGTGAGTTTATTTCTTCATCAGATTTGGAGAAATGTAGCATTGCATCAGTGTCTCAGCAATGGATGCTCTGCAGTGAATGGGTGCCGTCAGAATGAGAGTCCAAACAGCTGATAAAAACATCACAATAATCCACAAGTAATCCACAGCACTCCAGTCCATCAGTTAACATCTGGAGAAGACAAAAGCTGAAACAAATCCAGCATTAAGATATTTTTAACTAAAATACATTGAGTCCTTAATCCATAATAATGCTTCCTCCAGTGAAAAAGTCCATCTCCTGTTGTCTCTTTCATCAAAATCCACCACCATTTTATTTAGAGCTGTTTTGGATTGTAAACAGTGCTCGACCTCTGCATATTACATTAAAAACGTCTTGATTGATTGATGATTGGTTTCATTCTGACGGCACCCATTCACCGCAGAGGATTCATTGACGAGACTGCGATGGAATGATGCATTTCCACAAATCTGATGAAGAAACAAACTCATCTACATGGTCTAAGGATGAGGACATTTTCAGCAAATGTTATTTTTTGGGTGAACTATTCCTTTAATGTGATGCATATTCGCCCAGTCATAGATAAATGAAACGGGCACAACTAACTAAAATAAATGCAATTAATATGCATTTATTCAAATTGCTTAGAATCAGCATAAATCTGTTCATTCTGAGAACTATTTATTCAGTTAAAAAGTATGAAGGTGATTAAAATACAGCTAGCTGTAGAACAAGCAATATTCAATTAGTTAAAATGTAGCCTATGAGATTGATCAAATATCTGGGAGGAGCAAAACTACCAAATTAATTATTGATGACATCGGTATCTATTTATCTCATTTGTTAATTCCATTCAAAACCATTGTGTTAAACTAAGCTGTTGAACAGTAATGTATTGAGAATTAAACACTTTCTGTTTAATGGCTTGACTAACCATTACTTCTTACAGAGGTGAAAAGCACATTTTTGTTGTTGTGTATTTACAATAGGCTTTAGGCACGTGTTAGTTATTACAGATGAATAACATGTCGATAATATTGTTTATGATTATTTTATCTTCTGCATAGCAACACACTCGCCATTTTACTAATTGCGGAATCAATAAATAAAATTAAATATATTATTACTTTTATAACGTCGTTTTTATTCTTTCAAAATGTTATATTTTAATGATTTGTGTGCACCTTAAATACTAAAATAAAATTTTAAATCTGACATCACACATTAAGCGGACTGCGTCGGTGTATAAAACAACATTAACCAAGATGACTAAATGCTGTAAAATATCAAATGAATGAAAGAAATAAGGGACTAATGGCGATGAAATTAAATTATTCTGCTAGCCGATGTTGTGATAAAACCGAAATAACGCGAGAGAGAAAACTGCGTTTAGATCACGTGATCCGGAAGATTGATCACATGACCGCGGAGACAACAAAGAGTTTGGGAATATTGAACGAGGTTTTCTTAGTTTGGTTATTTATGCAATAAACATTCTTATAATTGCATTGCATTGGAGTAAGCTATGAAGAAATCTGATGCAGCACTAGCAGCTCCTCGTAAGTAGCAGACTGACAGAATAACAAAAAATCTCATATTTGATAGAAATAAACTCTCAAAGTGCAAGATAACGCTCAGACGAACCCATATGTCCAGTTACACCAAGAGAGTACTGAACAATGATTCTAAAACAATTATAAAAACGTCCAAATGACAGATGGTCAGTTTAAGCTACAATGACTTCATATGCAGATTTTGGTGTTTTATAACCAATATTTGTTTTCTGTACTTTTTAAAATTTACCTCCATATTTGTATTTAATATGTTTGTATCTGTGTCATGTAAAGTATGCTGTTCACTGTAAAGATATAAATGTATGCACATAAAGATTGATTCTCTATATCCACATCACAGTAATGTAAATAAATGTATGCATGTGTAAATTAAGTCACTTTTTTTGTTTTTCTTTAGGTTTCAACACCACAGTGATCACGATTTACACCAGTTCATCAGTAAATGCTGAATATTTCTACCATCTGGTCAACTAGGAAAACAAACCTGCGATCTTATTATAGCGTAATATTGTACAGGTGGAGTTTATTAAAGAGGAGACTGAAGACATGAGTGATGCAGAATCATCCCAAATAAAAAGTGACGATGAAAACAAGGAACAAAGAGGTTTGTGTACACAATACATCAAACAGAGATATATATATATATAAAAAAGGATTAAACTGATGCTTGTGATGTAAATCAAACAGAGCTTTATAACAGTACAGCAGATGCTGACATAAAATGATCTAAATATCAGTGGTCGCTCTATATCTCCAGTAATCTGTCTCAGTAAGATGAGATTGAAATGCTCCAAACATAACAATTACACTAAAAGAGCTTTGACTGGATTAAAAACTGAGATTGTTTTAGATTGTGCAAAGTTCAATCATGTTGATCATTTAGAGAAATTTTTGAAAAGAAAAATCAAAAATGATACAGCAGGCTTTACAGGGTTAAACAATGATAAATGCGTTATTATAGCCAAGTAGATCAAAATGGTCACATGACATCTGTTTCAACAATTTATTTTGTTCATTTTAGACCCATCGGAAAAAACTGATGAAAGTGAAGAAACGAATGAAGCGCCGTGGAACCGTGAATCAGACCATCAGTATCAGAAACCTCAGCAGATCACAGCTGGAGAAAACTCCTTGAACATCGGTCAAGAGCGAACTAAAGGAAGCGAAGCCCGGCCGTTCACGTGCCTTCAGTGCGGGAAGACCTTCAAGCGGGCCACGGATGTTAAAGGTCACCTGCGCTATCACTCGGGCGAGAGACCGTTCACCTGCGACCAGTGCGGGAAAAAATTCATCCTGGCATCGCACTTGAAAACGCACCTGTCCATCCATTCAAACGAGAAGCCTTTCTTGTGCTCTATCTGTGGCAAGAGTTTTTCACGCCTCTGCACTTTCAAAGATCACGAGAGCATCCACAGCGGCGTGAGAGCGCACGCTTGCTCCGAGTGCGGCAGCGCCTTCGTCACGGCCAACGCACTGAAGATGCACCAGCGCGTTCACACCGGAGAGAAACCCTACACGTGCTCGCACTGCGGCCGGAGCTTCAGTCACTCCGGAGCGCTGAAGAGACACGAGCGTGTGCACACCGGAGAGAGACCCTACCACTGCCCTCTCTGCGGCAGGAGCTTCACTCAGTCCAGCAATCTGCTGACCCATGTCAAGAGACACTGTCCGAAGTCACGCTGATCACACCAGGACCACATGTGAACACAGTGACATTCAGAAGGAGATGCAATAATCACCAGTTAGTCTAGGGATGTAACGATTAACCGCGAGCCGGTTGAAAATCGGTTCAAATCGGTTGAGATGCTAAACAAATCACGATTCAATTAGGACAAGGAGTTTATATGAATATAGTTTATATGTCTTTAGAAAAGTTTAGATGGTTTTTTTTTTTTCCTCTTGCCTCTGTATAATGCATATTAAAGTTCATAAGTGCAGCGCTGCTTTGTTTACAGCGGTAACCAAGGAAACGCTGTATCATTGCTGTTCATAAGTGCAGCAGTCAAACCATTCTGTTTTTGCTTCAAATTTCGGAATTACCGGTACAATCTAATTTAGATTAAAAACGGCTCATGTGGCATGTATGCAGCATCTTTGTTTGGATCATGATTAAAATGCACAGACAAAGCCTTATTTTGTTTATATGAAGAGATTAATTTTATTTGTGTTACTTATTTGATTTGGGGCTTGTTTTAAAATTTCAATTTAGTTTTGTTATTTACATTTACATTATATTTAAATTTTGTTATTTAGCAAACGCT